TACAGCTGATACAGAGCTAAGCTCAACTAGATGACCACAACTTACCCAATACCTTCAGTATCGGGATGTGCGAGCGTATGTGCATGTCTGTTTGCATTCATTAAAGCGCAAAATTGACAGCTAACAAATTCATCTTGATTATTCCTTAAACGCTGCCAACACAATCACAATAAAGGCGAGCAGAGCTCGCATCGGTGCTTCCGGCGAACGACAAGCGACAAACCAACATAGAGGATGCCTGCCAGTAGACAGACAAGCTCAAGCCAAAATCACTTGGGAACCCTGCCAACAGCATTTGCAAAGGTTTTACTGCTGCTTAAAGCGAGAAAAATCTAAGAATGGAAAACTACGCAAAATTACAATAAAGCACCGTAACATCTTATCAGAAAGAAAAAAAAAGAATAGAGAAGTAGTAGAAGATGAAAAAAAAGACAAAGACGACGTTTCACTTGAAATGCAAATGTGCATACACATTTTCAACGACTTTTACCCTTTCTGTGCCCTCGCATTTGCGGGTCTGTATGTGACCGACAACAACAGCCATCGCCATCATAGACGATTATTGAGATTTATATTTGAAAATAAGCTGATTTTGGTTGACGCGTATTTTCCACTTATAATATTTTCTTCTTCTTCGGGCAAAGAGCAAATAGATTCGCGGCGAACATATTAGGACAAAAAAGTAATTGCAATAGTATGTCAAACTCGAAATCTTTTCGAATTTTGGAGTATTTTCTCTTTGTAAAATCACACTTCAGATTTTTTCCTCAGTTGTAAAGTCACAAGATGTCCTCATATAGGTAATCTTTTTGAATTAAAATGCTTGATATTATTACATTATAAATATGTTCTAGATATCACAACTGCTTTGGGTAGTATAACCACCAATTGCTTAAGATCAAAAGTGGACTTGTAAAAAGGGAAAAATCTATACTGATAGCTGACTTTGACAACCAGATTGCCTGCCCTTTTTAAATGTGCAATCATCTTTAGTTTGAAGTTTGCAACTTTTTCAGTAGCAATTTACTACTGCATCTTAGCTACCACGGTCCCGGCCAACAAAATTAAGCGTAAGTTGACAGACAACTTGAAATTTTCTCTACAACTTCCAAGGCCAACAACGTCAACAGCTTACTTACTTCAGCAGAGTGTGCGTGGTTTTTAACTAAGCTCACCTTTTCCTTCCTGCGCGAGCATAGTTTCCATACACAATTTTCAAATTATTAAGAAGGAAGGATTTCATTGAATACGTCCGACTAAAATATACCCTTTACCTACAGTTGGCTTCAGTTATATCAATTACCTTCCAAGAGCACAAATAACGAAATTTTTATTTGCTCTCTCTTCAGATATCTTGCCATTTTTTTTTTTTTTTTATATCTGTGGATAAAAAATAGTAATCTACATTGAACTCAGGTTTCGTTAGCAACGGGCTGTGATGATTAAAAGAACAAGTTCGTTGTCGACGAAACCTGCATGCTATGTGGAGAGGCAACCATTCTATTCAAGATGACTGCAAATCTTAAAAATGTTTCTCATGGGAACCTCATCTGTGTTAAATGTATGGACCAGTACTCGGTAAGTACAATTATGCCCTTTTTATGAGCAGTTCAATTTACAATCTCGCAATGATAAATCTACCAAAGCTACTCTTCAAATCAAAACAATGAACATTACAGACAGAAGAATTTCGGATCTTTGTTTGTACAATAGTGCAATTGTTGTAATGTAAATTAACTTATATGTGAAATTTCAGGTAATGAATAAGTCAATAATAAGCATCACAATCCATATGAATTTCAAGTTAAATTACACCTGATTCTGATTGGCTAGTTAAAGTGAAGTTTGATGTTCTACCAATTAGACAATCCAAATAAGCAATGGACAAGCCTGGTAACATTTGAGAGGGCAAGAGGCACTCA